GAGCATTACTCATTAGCGCAAAATCCTCCTTTTCAATGTCCTCTAGAGACACTGTTTTATCAATTCCTTCAAATCTCTTTACCTTCCCGGTTTCCTTGTACACGATTGTCGTGTTGAGTTCCACTAAATGTTCGTCAATTCCCTCCAGCAGAGTTTGCTCTTCCTCTTTTCTCGTTTTGTTTACACACAAGTTGCCATCTGCATCCAGGAGTTTTCTTTCTTCAGAGGCAAGTCTCACGGCTCTGTTTTCGGGAATGGTGACGTAACTTCGGTACATGGGATACCCGTACCGGNNATAATATTTGTTTTCGCCTGTGAATTATTTGATTTGGTTGGATAAGGGGGCAGTATGCAAGCGCTGATTCTTCGCGAAGGAATGGTTTGATCCGTGGTCGTCAAAGAAATGCGTGCGGCGCAGGAGTGTACTGGAAAAAAAAGGTGTTCGCTTGGCTGTCACATCTCGCGCTTCAATCTGCTCGAGATGGCCGAGTGCGTCATGAAGAGATTAGGGAGGAGTCAGCTTGATCTAATGTCAAAGGTGAAGACAGGTGATTCTAGAAAGACTTTTAATGTGCAAGAGGTTTCAAAGCGTTTTAGAGATAAGATACAGTGCATTCTGAAAAGTTAAGGTGTTTGTTGTATTGATGACTATCTGTAGAAAGTGAAAATGAAAATGAAAATTCTCTTTTACAGAGGCCCGAGTGAATCAGAAAACCATCGAAACTGACAAATTTTAAACCATACTAGTAAAGAGATAAAATACGTGCATTATTATGCAAAGATAAGCTGTTTGTTGTATTGATGACTATCAAGTCTCGTTTGAATGGGAAAACCATCAAAACTGTCAAATTTTACACAACACTAATAAAGGCAGGGGTCGAACTTACGCTTTTGGTGTTTACATTTGGACATAAAATCTCTCATCGCGTGCTTGCGACAAGTGCGACCCTTTTGTCGCAAACAGACATAACTATGTCCGAAGGACCTAAAGATCAAAAAAGCCGAAGTCCTGCCCCGAGGCAAGCCATATCTCGTCTTATCGCTTTGAAATAACAATTTTTGTTTTTCCTCCGTCGCAACGTCGATCAAATCTGAAATAATAGCAAAAATTTGGATTTTCGCAATTCTGCAAAGACAACACGTGTGCACAGCTAGCTATCGGTTCAATATTTTAGTCACAGGTTTTCTCGACACACGTTCCCTATGGCGAATTTCACCCACACCAATTTACAAATTTGCACTATTCACCTGATTATTTTCAGTATGGGAATGGCTTGTTTTCACCCTTTGCTCGAAGATATTTTCACATTTTTTCACATCCGTCGACGTCGGTTTAAAGCGGCAAGAGCCAACACTATTGCCGTTGGCGAGTGTTGTACAATGCGTACAAATCAATAAGGTTTTGTAGATTGAACAAATTAAACAGAGAATGAAGAAATGTCGCTAATAAAATTAGGACCAGCTTCATGTCTACAAAGTTTTATTTGTTGCTCTTTTCGCGCGTGAAATATTAAGAGTTGACAGTCTGGTTTCATATATATCCTTTATGTCGCACAAGTACGACCTCCATGACTCCCGTGGTGTAAATGTCGCGACATATTTGCAGGACAACTTATGACGCTTGATCAGCAGGGATTTGCTAAAGCAAAGGCATAGAAAAAACCAGGAAAGATTTATTACTCGACGTTTCGGGGTCATCGTGACTCCATTATCAAGAGATTAGTTTAAAAACATGCAAATAAGGAAAGGTACAACACTGAACGTGCAAACGGATTCCATCCGCGCCAAGGTGTTTGTTTAAGCCGTTCAGTCTAATTTATGCTATTCTTGTACCTTTCCTTATTTGCATGTTTTTAAACTAGTCTCTTGATAATGGAGTCACGATGACCCCGAAACGTCGAGTAATAAATCTTTCCTGGTTTTTTCTATGCCTTTGCTTTAGCAAATCCCTGCTGATCAAGCGTCATAAGTTGTCCTGCAAATATGTCGCGACATTTACACCACGGGAGTCATGGAGGTCGTACTTGTGCGACATAAAGGATATATATGAAACCAGACTGTCAACTCTTAATATTTCACGCGCGAAAAGAGCAACAAATAAAACTTTGTAGACATGAAGCTGGTCCTAATTTTATTAGCGACATTTCTTCATTCTCTGTTTAATTTGTTCAATCTACAAAACCTTATTGATTTGTACGCATTGTACAACACTCGCCAACGGCAATAGTGTTGGCTCTTGCCGCTTTAAACCGACGTCGACGGATGTGAAAAAATGTGAAAATATCTTCGAGCCAAAGGGTGAAAACAA